GGCAGAGCCAGATACCTTTGGACTCTCACTTGTAAGATGTACTGTAAGGGCATTTGCAGGATAGGTGTGCTGAATTTTTCATATGAGGCATTTTACATCTTTGGGATCTAGCCACCTCATAGCAGATTTTGGGATAATTTTCATCTACCCTTGATTATCTCAAGCAATGGTCTGCCATACTTGGTGCCTTCTGCTGAGTGGTACTTTGACATTGCTTGTAAATTATTAAAGTATATAACTAAAAGGCAAATATTTCCTTTAATTTCAGATAGAGTGGAGATGGATTAGACCACTTGTCAATTTTTATTGCAGTCTATGCCCTTGTTAAGGAAATTCACCCTCCCTATTGTCCTTTTTATCATTATCATTGAAAGTGAAAGTAAAAGAAAATCCCAAATTGTCCCTAGAAAAGTAATAGAGGGGAAATCTTCCAAACGGAGGCAGTAGTTCTGGTGACCTAGGGTCCCCAAGGAATGCCCTTAATTTGAAGGGATTTCCTCTCACTTCCTGTTTGGCTATGGGACAGAAAGTGAAGGGAAATCTCCACAATGGGACACAGATGGTGAAAGAAATTCTTACATGGGTAGAACCCTCCCTTACTCTATCCAAAATGAAAAAAAAAAACTACTTTAAGGACATAATGTAGACATAGATAATACTATTACATGGAGGCCTGACAATTATAATGTATAGTATGTATGCAGAACTCCCCAAAACGTATCAACCTCTTTTCTAACATTTCTTTTTCCTCAGCAGCACTCATATAATGATCCTGGAGTACTGTGATACCAGCCTGCATGATGATGGGCTCAGAGGAAATGGACAGAATGATGCCAATATCGCTCTGCGTGAAGAGGACCACTGACATCAGACTGAGGAGGAAACTAGGGACATCACTACAGCATGGAGAGGACAAATCGATACTTGCAAAAATTGTGTTATACAGGCTGAGGACATAGATGTAGAAACATAACCACTAAAATCTTTAACATGTCAATGTAATTTCATGTCATTTTCAAACTTCTTAAATCTATAGCTTTCATTAACCACTTGCCCTCCAGAAGGTTTTACCCCCTTCATGAGCAGGCCAATTTTTGCTATTCGGCACTGCACTACTTTAACTGACAATTGCGTAGTCATGCAACACTGTGCCCAAATGAAATTTATATCATTTTTTCACACAAGTAGAGCTTTCTTTTGATGTTATTTGATCACCACTGGGTTTTGGGTTTTATATTTTGTATTATAAAAAAAACAGTATTTTTGACTTTCTACTATAAAACATATCCAATATAAAATAAATAAAATAATTTCTTCATAAATTTAGGCCAAAATGTATTCTGCTACACATCTTTGGTAAAAAAAAAAAATTCCCAAAAAATTTTATTTGGTTTGCATGAAAGATTTACAAACTATGGTATACACAGTATATTGGAATTTTTTTTTATACATATTAATGGTATTCAGCGGTGAGATTGCATGAGAAGCGGATTTGGGGGGGGTACAAACTGACATGGTATATTCACAGGTGTAAACGATTGTCAGATGTAGTGATATTGGAATTTTTTTCACATATATCCCAGGAATAGATAAACTACCAGAAGCGCAAATGGTACAGATTGCATGTAGCCGGAATCCCATGTAGGCGCTGAGATGGTGAGATGGCATATGACGTGTATTGACACGGGTCTAGGCAAGCCTTTGCACGCCTGACGTTACGCCGCCGGGTCAGAGATCCGGCGGCCCACCCATGGTTTTTTACTGGTCAGTGTATAGGATCATCTTTTTTGAAGCTGCATTTACTGGCTACAGGCTGCAGGCATGCGTTTTTGTAAATTTATATGGCTTTACGTTTTGAATAAATAATTTTAAAACATACTACACTATGAGTATTTTTACTCCTTGCACTGGTACTGAGTTCCCATACCTCAAGCAATTTTTAGGCTCTCTGTGTGGATCCAAGGTGCAGTGTTTCCGACCAGGCCAGCATCGTCCTACCACCGACGGACCATCTGGGTACTATTCCGGCTACATGCAACTGTACATGCGCATTCAAATTGCGCTTCTGGTGCAATTTATCTATTCCTGGGATTGGATTACACCTATATGCCCTGTGATTCCCCCTGCACTGAACTGTTTATCATCTTCACATTTCTACATCTGACAATCGTTTACACCTTTTGTCATTTGAATATTGTTTGTAGCGCTGCACTTATATTGTTTTATTTTGGTTGGAAGGGCTTGTAGTTCCTATTTTGGCACTTCTCGCTCACTGGGGCGGTCACTTTTTTTCCATACTATATAACTGACATCAATAAAGACACTAATAAAGTGATCAGTGCTATTATTATACACTCTCAATGTACTAATGACACTATTTTGGAAAGGGGTTAACATCTAGGGATGATCAAGGGGTTAACTGTGTGCCTATCAATGTGTAATGTGTGTAAGATGTGCTTCTTTTACTAAGCGATCTTGTTGAGTTTTTTTCCCTGCTTTGCAGGGAATAAAAAAACTGCAAGATTGCTTGTCAATGTACAGAGCTCTGTGTTTTTACCAACACAGAGTTCCCCTCCATGAATCATAGAGCCGAACAGCGGGTCCTGGTAATCAATCATTGGCCTGGACTAGCTGATTGGTTTGTGCTGTAACAAATCAGAGCACAGCCAGGGTGGCAGGTGCACACACGAGCCCTACATGGACAAAGTCTGAGTCGCACTAATTAGAATGGTTCCATTACTAACCATTGGATATGATTTGTCATGCAGTCAAATCGCAGGACAATTCGCATCAGTGTGAACCAGGGCTTAAAGAACAGCCTTTGTGGAGCACTATGAAGTCTGCATGTTCATATATAACTGCAAACTATAGACAGAAATAACCATTTTTAAAACATTAACATAAAATAACAAGATAATTTATACCACACTGATTACTTTTATGTGTACAATGCTAGTTGTCTCATGATAGGGACAGCTGCAAGGATTGATCATACAGAGTCATGTGAAAAGAAGACATTCAGCGTTACCAAAAGATATTGTATATAATGTATTAATTACCTAGTGTGAAATATATTTAATGAGCTTTTATTCCATACATTCACTACAATTAACATCAGAATTCCTTAGCTTCCCAGTGTTTGGACCACTCTCCCTGCAGACATGTCTCCCACAGTGCCCCATATACCTGATTTTATCAGTGGGGGTTCCATGATGGATCAAACAACTTTTAATATTCTAACCTAGCCTTTAGCCATTAAATGTAAATCTTTTTCACGCCCCCATGTTACAGCTTTTTGAAGAGAAGTGAAAACCTTCAATCTACTATACATGGCAGAAAAGAAACAAAAGAAGTATATAAATATAACTGCACACAATCATGTATGTCAGCATAATAGGTAAACACTTCATTAAACACAGTTCATAGACCTTCTTAATAATTAAAGGTTTATTCGTTGTCTAGATCAAGTATGTGGTCTGTGCAGTTCCCATGTTCAGCAGTGTAACCTCTAACACATAGCTATTAGTGCTCAGTGAACATTGCAATTACTTTTATTGCTGTTATTTACTTTTTTAATTATTATCATGGATACACATGCGCACATACACTATTTTCTGTTTGTTTTAAAAAAAAAAAAAGTAATGTGTGGTTCATGCATAATAGAAAGGCCTATAATGAAACAATTTATACTCAGGACTTTCCAGCTTAATATATAGAAGCAGCATGCTAGAGAGGAGCTGAGCCCCAGTCATATGTTTTTGGTCGGCATTTCCCTGGTCCAGGGGCGGACTGACAACTCATAGGGCCCCCGGGCAATAGGGGATCATGGGGCCCCTGTGTCCTTGCCCACACTCAAAGCACACCCAAAAAAGCCTATAAAAAGGTACCAGGGGCATTTCATGGGGCCCCCTATTGACCCCGGGACCTCGGGCATTGCCCGAATACTCGAATGGTCAGTCCGCCCCTGCCCTGGTCTGTACATGAGCATGCAACGGAGCCTAAACCTGGCCATAGATGGATCAAAATTCAGCCAGTTCAGCAGGAACTGGCCAAATTTTGATCTATCTATGGCGATTCCTGCTTTGCAGAAGTTAACCTAACAATCAACTTCTGCCAACCACAATGTTGGAACATTTTTGTTCAATTAGTGGCTGCAGTCAGTCAGCTGCAGTGCTGATCAGTGTATTCTGACAGCATAGAAGTTCCCACTGTCGGAATACAATGACACACTGGGGAGGATTCTTCCGTTCAACTTACTTGTGTGGATGGGGAAATCTGTTAATTTTTTTTTTCAATCAGCCCACTGAAAGATCAAAAAAAAAGACCCGTCTATGGGCAGCCTTAATGATCCAAATGCTGCCCATCTCTTCCCCAGTCATAAACTAGCCATACACATAGATTTCTGGGCTGAACAAGAGAAATCCATACATTATTCCATCCACCTAACCAGCATGAATGGAGGACTCTTCCACTGTCATCTAGTACATTCAGACATCCACCACCTGTGACTGTCAGTGTACCTGAACAATGACTATAGATGATTGCCTGCAGTCATTTTTCAGCTGACTTTTTCAGCCCAGGTGCATTGAGTTCTCAGTTGAAGTTTGTTGAGGTAGGTGATGTTTGCATGGCCATACATGAGTCGAATTTTGTTTGATTCCTGTGAATCTTACAATATTTGACCCATGTATAACCAGCTTTAGTGCTTCTGCACAGGGGATGATAGGAAGCTTGTGACATGGGGGATGTTTAGCTCTAGTGGTAGATGCTTTTCAAGTGAGTTCAAGCTAGTCAGAAACTCTATTTAAGTTTCTGGTAGCCCATGTTTATTAAAAGGCAAGATAAAGTCCAAAATAAGCTTTCCCATGCAGGGGTTCTTCTCCAGTTGTAAATACAAATGAAAAAATGACCAAACCTCCTGGCTACTCCTCATTAGCACTGCTGGTCAGCAGTACCTCTGCTGGTATGGGTCTCCGAGACCACTGGCTATTCCCGGAACACACAGAGCCACTCAATGGCAGCCACTGCACTCTACTCCCCCCTGCAACTCTCAGCAGATCATAATTATAAGGGCTGTGAGCACCTGGGCCCAATCCCTGCTGGTTGACTGCAAACTCTGGACACTGGATTGGAGATTTCTTCCCTTCCAAGGCACTTTTAAATCTCCAAACTACAGAGCCCCATCCAGAAATATCAAAATCCAGAGAAACCTGCAACAGCAATTTTCTCCACTCAAAATCTACACTCTGCAGTTCTACACTCTGAACATGTGCAGACCCTGTGTCCATTACCTGACCACTTCTTTTTTTTTTCCAAAAAGAAAGCCTTTATTAATAAAAAACATAATGGTACAAAAGACATGTACAGGGTGCCTAAGCGAAACAGCAGGCACAATCTACATACCTGACGACTTCTACCTATTTTTATCCTGTGACAGGCCCTGCTCTGTTACAGAGCTGTTAAAAGAGATTTAAGTACTTGTGCTAGTATCTAAATTGATTGGATTATTTCTTAAAGGAATGCTCAGTTGCTTTAAATGTTCTTTTTTTCTATATCTACCAGTTCAGTTTTAAAGCTGAAGTACAGCAAAAAAAAAAAAAAAAACTTAATTTTTATCCACAGCTTTAGTTATATTTCTTACCTGTAATGAAGTATACAGTAGCTAGTATGCAGGTTGCTGGATTCTGTAGAAATCTTCACTGCGAGGCTGCCCTGTCCTCTTCCTGCTTTAGAATTTCAACCATTGTCCCTCCATTAGGAAAAGTTCTTTCATTGATTACTGCATGTGAATGGGGGAGAGAATCCTGTGAAAGATCAGAACTCCCCCCCCCCCCCAGTCACAGATCATGTTACATGCAGTGTAATCAGTGAAAGAACTTTTCTCTAAGGAGAAGAGGGCTGGAGGGAGGAGGCGTGTCCCTGCTGGACCACCTTTGCACCCCCAGTCACACCGATCCTCACTTTGAAAACGTGTGACTTACAGTGAAGTAGCACGATATCAAAGTCGGATAACATGCCGATTTGAGGTGCAATCTGCAAAACATCTGACACAGATGTCTATGCAAATCGCACCAAAAGTAGTGCATGCAGCATATTAGAAATCAGAGCGCCTCCAATCAAGTCAGAACCACACCAATATGACCGTTCTAGTAGCGGACAACAGAGTGCAACTTGCCATGTGATTTACAAGTTGTATGGCATACAAATCACATGCCAAGTGCCACCCGGTGTGACCGGGGTCTTAGTGCAGCTGAACCTGGTGTTGACCCTCACAGCGCTGCAAGTTCAGATGCAAGAAGAGGACAGGACATTCCTGCAGTGAAGGTTTCCACAGAATCCACAGAACCAGGTGTGTAACCTGCAACCACCAAAACAAGTAAAAGTGTGAGGGGTTGTGGCACAGAGAGTGACATTTATTGCTCAATAAAGCTGCATTAAAAACTCTAAACTTGAATCACCCCTGCCAGTTGGTAAATGGATTGTCTCTTCCATGTGTAGCCCTACCCTCTTGAGGGCCGCTGTGTTTCTGGATCCCTCTAAGCTCCCTCTAAGGATCCCTCTAAGCTTCGCACAGCCAGGCAACATGCATTTTCCACACTTGCATCCACAGTCAGTGAACAATCCATGAGCTTGGTTTTTGTTATTTATTAGGGGATGTAACTTGGTTAGGGTAATAGGAATTATGGGATGCCCAACTTGACTGAATCAATGCCAAGGGACAACTTTCTTCCTATTTACAGAAAAAAATCCTGGACTGTTCATTTCCTTGAAAGCGGTCAGTCATTATGGATCAGTAGCAACTGCCCCCTGAAAGTTAGCTTAGCTTAGTTATTGCAAACTACATGCAGAGATGTCTCCTCTCCCCTGTAGAACTGCTCTCAGCTCCACAGCCGCAGACACCACCAGCCTTCCTGGCTGTTCTGAAGATCTCCCAGGACAAGGATAAAGGATTAAGCACAATGCTGTCCTTTGAAAGCTTGCTACATGTGGCAGTTGCTGCCCTTGTAGATTTTGGGTGTGCTAATGTCCTCCCTGCTCCCACTACTCCCAGGCCATGATCCTCTTCTGACCATGATGCTGAATGGACCAGACTGTGCCAGACTGAGCCCAACCTGGAGGCCAGGTTCCCCTAGACCTAGGGGACCCCTCTCAGGCCACCTACAGTCTCCTCAGCACTCCATCTTCCACCTGACTCCCCTGCCAGTCTGAATCTCCCATATTTATGGGTTGGTCTCCCCACCCCAGGGCATCCAAACCTGGGATTGGTTAGACTACTATAAACATACAGATTAGGTCTTCACCCCTTCCACTCACTGGCTTCTTGAAGGTTCCATGGCCCTCCAGAACCAGGTGGAGGTGATAGAGTCCCAATCTTTTAAGCCTTTCAGGCTGACCTACAGTAACCCAACATAATTGCAGACTCACACAGTTACACAATAAATGTACTTACACTACTGTAGTAGCACACTAGAGGGTGCTGCACATGTAAACTGATATATACAGTGGGGCAAAAAAGTATTTAGTCAGCCACCAATTGTGCAAGTTCTCCCACTTAAAAAGATGAGAGAGGCCTGTAATTGGCATCATAGGTAGACCTCAACTATGAGAGACAAAATGAGAAAACAAATCCAGACAATCACATTGGCTGATTTGGAAAGAATTTATTTGCAAATTATGGTGGAAAATAAGTATTTGGTCACCTACAAACAAGCAAGATTTCTGGCTCTCACAGACCTGGACCTTCTTCTTTAAGAGGCTCCTCTGTCCTGCACTCATTACCTGTATCAATGGCACCTGTTTGAACTTGTTATCAGTATAAAAGACACCTGTCCACAACCTCAAAGAGTCACACTCCAAACTCCACTATGGTGAAGACCAAAGAGCTGTCGAAGGACACCAGAAACAAAATTGTAGACCTGCATCGGGCTGGGAAGATGGAATCTGCAATAGGCAAGCAGCTTGGTGTGAACAAATCAACTGTGGGAGCAATAATTAGAAAATGGAAGACATACAAGACCGCTGATAATCACCCTCGATCTGTGGCTCCACGCAAGATCTCACCCCGTGGGGTCAAAATGATCACAAGAACGGTGAGCAAAAATCCCAGGACCACACGGGGGGGAACCTAGTGAGTGACCTGTAGAGAGCTGGGACCAACGTAACAAAGGCTATCATCAGTAACACACTACGCCACCAGGGACTCAGATCCTTGCAGTGCCAGACGTGTCCCCCTGCTTAAGCCAGTACATGTCCGGGCCCGTCTGAAGTTTGCTAGAGAGCATTTGGATGATCCAGAAGAGGATTGGGAGAATGTCATAGGGTCAGATGAAACCAAAATAGAACTGTTTGGTAGAAACACAACTCGTGTTTGGAGGAGAGAGAATGCTGAGTTGCATCCAAAGAACACCATACCTACTGTGAAGCATGGGGGTGGCAGCATCATGCTTTGGGGCTGTTTCTCCGCAAAGGGACCATGATGACTGATCCATGTACAGGACAGAATGAATGGGGCCATGTATCGTGAGATTTTGAGTGCAAACCTCCTTCCATCAGCAAGGGCATTGAAGATGAAACGTGGCTGGGTCTTCCAACGTGACAATGATCCCAAACATACCACCCGGGCAATGAAGGAGTGGCTTCGTAAGAAGCATTTCAAGGTCCTGGAGTGGCCTAGCCAGTCTCCAGAGCTCAACCCCATAGAAAACCTTTGGAGGGAGTTGAAAGTCCGTGTTGCCCAGCGATAGCCCCAAAACATCACTGCTCTAAAGGAGATCTGCATGGAGAAATGGGCCAACATACCAGCAACAGTGTGTGCCAACCTTGTGAAGACTTACAGGAAACGTCTGACCTCTGTCAATGCCAACAAAGGATATATAACAAAGTATTGAGGTGAACTTTTGATATTGACCAAATACTTATTTTCCACCATAATTTGCAAATAAATTATTTCCACATCAGCCAATGTGATTGTCTGAATTTGTTTTCGCATTTTGTCTTTCATAGTTGAGGTCTACCTATGATGCCAATTACAGGCCTCTCTCATCTTTTTAAGTGGGAGAACTTGCACAATTATTGGCTGACTAAATACTTTTTTGTCCCACTGTACTGCTGGAGAGCTTGAGCTTTTGAAAAACAACAAATTTTCTGGCTAGGTCACCGGATGAAAATAGAAGAGAGAAAGCTCAAAAAAGAAAATGAATGCAGCCAACACATCTAAAAATTGGTAAGCTGCAATACAATAATATTTTTCTTGTGGGAGTAATACTGCTTTAAAGTACAGCAACGTTTCAGACATCCTTCCCTTTATCAAGCTTGATAAAGAACAGGGATGCCTGAATTGTTGCTATATTTTATTTGCATTTATATCATCCTCCATGCTATTTGTTGTGCATTTCCAAATATTTTTTGATGGTCAAATGCTTTCCTAACAAATCATCATTGTTTGCTGTTTATGATCATAGCATGGCATGTAGCGGTATATCAAAGAGCCACAAAACAAACCAGACAGGATACCCTCCATCCAAATAAAAGCAGTTACCACTGGTTGTTACTGAATACATTCTATTGTTTACACTGGGGGATTTCCTAATGGAAGACTGCAGCATGCCCCTTGCTTTGCAATTTGCAAAGGGATGTCATGTCACAGTGAATATGTTCAAACTATGTGCCTTACTTAAAAAACCTAGAACAACGTCTCGAGCTACATGATTATATATACAGCAAAGTAAGCAAAGTCATATTGCTGCTAGAGTGAACGTCCCTATGCTGATTGCACAGTAGTCTTGGTCACACCAGTTCTGAATAAATCAGTGAGGCACACTCAGGCTCTAGCAAACTATCATTGTTTTACTTTTCAAACACCCATTCCTTGCTGATGTCACCTGAAGCCTAGGCAAAGGTTACAAGTGACATCTCAGCCCGAGTCCCTGCTTAGCTGTAGCCTTCATAGAGGGGTTGAAGTTTGTTTTCTGCTGAATTTCTCATTTTTATTGACCTGTTGTTCCTACTTTTGTATTATTATAGTCTTGACCATGTGCCACCCATGCAGACACAGGGTGCCTTCAGCCACTGAGCGTCTACATCTAAATTTTCAAGTATTTTTTACCATTTGTCAGAATTCATCCAGTATACACATTCAAACCGCTTCCACTCCAAGCCAATTCTGTCATTCCTCTCCTACATGTAAAAATCAGCATTTTTTTTTTGCTAGAAAACACTGAGAACCCTCAACATTACAAATATATATATATATATATATATATATATATATATATATATATATATATATATTTATTTTTAAGCAGAGGCCCTTAGAAAATAGAATGGTGGGTGCCACATGACAGTGGTTTTTTAGGTTCCATGCTCACTGGACGTTTTGATAACGCTGGTAACGTTAGCTGTGTAAAGTCACGTTAAAAACATGAGTTTTCAGCTTTTTTTAGCATTTT